AACTTCTACTGGTACACTGGCATCCTATGGGTGGATCATGCTGGCTTCTTCTGAACTTTCTGAGTTTTACATGTTGCTGACATGGGCTGAGGTATTTCCTTGCCAGGGGTAGCATCGAACCCTAAACCCTATATGAACCCTAGACCCTCAACCCTAAACCCTCTAGTAAGCCTATAAACCCCATCAACCATCCTCGAATATCCTCGACGAATCAGACTACTAGGGCCCCAGAGGCCTGAGCTTAAGGTGTAGGCTTTGGGGTTTAGGGTTTAGGTTTGATTGTTCAGGCAATTTGGAATCCATCCCCAATACTGGCAGGTCAAACCGATGGACCGAAACCCCCAAACCTAAAACCTAAGCACAATGGCTAGCTTCCAAAAATGAGGGTCCCCCTTCTATACACCCACTAAACTCTAATCCTTACTATAAAGACTCCCAAACAAGGACTCCTAATTTTCGGATACACCCCATGCCGAATGTAACTGGTCTCTACAATTTGTCGTCCGGCACAACCCCGAGACTCCAAACCCTAAACCCTACACCATGATCCATCCCAGATACGAGCGTATCTGGACTGCTAGCTCGAACTTCTTGGGAATCCTGACCATGCCATGACCTGGTCTCAACAGGAAAGGTTTAGGGTTTAGGCTGTCATGGCATACGTAGGGATATATAAGAAACGTAGGAGTGGGAGATGTCCAGTTATGTACGGATGCTTAGGGTTTTGGGATTAAGTTTTCTTGTTTAAACGAGTGAGAGAGTTTTCTGTTTACGAAATCCTCCGAGGAAAAAAATCTCACTCTACACTTGGGGGCTATAGAACCCCGTGGCAGATACTGTTTAAGCATGCTGTGGGAGTATTTGTTATTGGGGGGGCGGTGGGAACATTATCAGGGGAAGGGGATTGCATGACTTTGGAGGGGCTGCGTGTACAGCACTTGGGCGGCATGATGCAGGGAGAAACAGCAATTTCACAAAACTTTCCTCATGGGGAGGATCTGTCTGTAAGCAGCATATGTCCCCACATATGTGTCCCCCGTTAATCGCCGTACCTCCCGATGCAGTCTCTGGGACCACGGCTCATCTTCGAAATGCGCCTGCCCAGCTGGGCGGCTCATCGTCGGTGCTTCTCCGTGCAGGAGCGGCACGGCAGCATATCAGATGCAGCCATTGGCCAATCAAACTACTACGCCCACCGCATTGCAAACGCTTTGCGCTACTGGGGCTGCGCCAAACTTGTCAGTTTCGGGCCTCTGTCACAATTGCTGTCTTCCCCTGCCATGGCTGTAATGAAGGACCAACTGATACGCAACGCCTAGATGAAAGCCTTTCCTTCGCCTAGAACAGAACCTTGGAGCCTGATACTTCGGGACAGCAGGCAACGAAAAGCTTAGCCCTTAGCAGCAAGACTTCGTTCGGTGGGGCCAACATGCAACTGTAGGACTTTGTCTCAGGATCACAGACCGGCGACAGGCACAGCCTCGTGCAACAAGAAGTCAGGGTACGTCGACCTCAGAGGCTTATCGGCTCATGACTCGGCCTAAGCACTAATCAGCATGGTTTGGCTCGCTTCGCATCATGCAGCATTGCTCTGCTACCTAAAGCAGTGAAAGAGCGTCGGTGACACATGCAGCAGCTCACAAGCCTCTCAAGCGGTGACACAGCGTTCGTTAGGCTATGTACTACACCTTTCGATGTTTCTGACATGCGATTGTGGATTTCCACGTTACGCGCTGGCCTAATTGAGTGGCTATGGCGTTGTTGGCTTTCCTGATGTCAAACCGAGTCTGACCTCCTTTGCCAGGAAGAATGTCTGCTGTGTTAGCAGCTGATCTCACGCTTCGCTTTGCGATCTTCGTGGCACGCTTTGAACCTTGGCGGGCATGCTGCAAAGGACAGTTTCGGACCTAAGGATGGCTGCTCAAAATACATGACCTCAAGCTGGCCATAAAGTAGGCTCCCGTTTTAGCTAGGATCCCTTTTCAAGGTGTTCCAGTGGTCCCGTCTTCAAAGGGAAAATTCAAACAACCCCACATGGAATGACGTGTCATGTTGGCTTACCTTGGCATGCTACCATGCCTTCTGACGTTGAAGCCAACAAGCTTTTAGCTGGCATACGGTGGATCACGGAGATTTGAAGCTAGCAGGCGAATGTACAACTTGAGGCCACCTTCTTCATAAGCGCCGGAAGTGCCCAGGCGCAAGGCATAGATTGAATTCAGCATGTTGATGTCTTGCTCCTGGCTCAGAGAACATCCAAAATCACATGCTCAATTGTTTGCTGGATCCTGGCTCACAATTCCATTTCTTGGCCCTGACCATCATTCTCAAGGATTAGAGTTGTACCTTGGTCATTTTCGGCAAGCTAACGGGGGGCCATGTGCACGGCGTTTGGGGTTGGCGGGCCTGTCAACATGGAATAACACTCCCCTGAACCCTAAGCCCTATACGCTTGAGTTTAAGAGCTTCAGCAAAATTATCATCTTAGAGCATCTAGGACGGCCCCAATTTTCAGAAACCCTTAGACCGGTCTGGCAGGTATCACTGGAAGGCAAGCATTCTTGCCAAGCTTGCGGTTTCTGATGATGTCCATCTCAAAGAGCAATGTTCAAATTTACGCGGCTCGTGTTTAGTAGCAAGGTGTTCAGGCTGTTGCTGCTTCTCCAAGTGATGGCCGAGAAATAAGAACGACCCTAGAAATGGACCCAATTGTACAATATATGATCCTGCTTAAGAGGACACCCCTCAAAAAAACAGGACCCTAAACCCTAGACACTAAACGTTCCGACCGTGCATAAATACGTGCCCATACGACGCATGCACGAGCGCAACGTGCTGTTTCTGCCACGCCCGCCGATGTTCTGGAGGCGTCGCAATCTCCAGAAGCGTGCAACGGTTCTCTCTTGGTAGCAGAAGTGTGACAGAAGCTGGGTTTTACTGCAAGTGCACGAAGTGCTATTCCTGCCAGCCAGCATGGATGCTCGCAAGAACCGTATGCTCTGGTTACGGGAACGTCATTATCTTGACCCCTGAGCTCAGAAAAAGGCCTGGCTTTGCGTATTTACATGTGGTCAAAGGGCTAAACCCTCAACCCCTGTTTAAAGGGACTTTATTGGGAACCCCAAACAGGGAACCCCAAGAATATAGGAACATAACACAATATAGGGACCCTGGTAGGTATATTCCTATTATATTCCTACTATCCTTTACTGTTAAGCATCCCCATTTTGCTCTGAAAGCCCCCTGGCCTTGGGAACTGAAGGTAGCTCGCTGAGCTGGCAGACTGGGAGAACCTGTAGTGTATCGACCACAGTTGAGGGCTTAGGATTTAGGGTTGAGGGTTTAGGGTTTAGGGGTTTAGGATTCGGGGTTTAGGCTTTAGGATTCAGGGTGTAGGATTCAGGGTTTAGGATTCAGGGTTTAGGGTTTAGGATTGAGGGTCTAGGGTTAAGGTTTGAAGCTTTAGAAGGCCTGAAAGAATGGACCAACCACCAGTCTCAGCGGTCCCCTCACTGGCTTTGGGTTTGGGGTTCGGGGGTTTAGGGCTTAGGGCTTAGGATAGCAATCCCTTCATGCTAATTTCACCATTGGTTTCTCGGGGCTCTCTAAGGATTGTATGAGTAACAAAAAGGAATGAAATGGACAATGATATGGAAGATCAACTGGAAACTGTGATTACATATGGTGTCCCTTAAGAATTTGGAGGGGCTGTTCCATGAATAGGAGGTTCTCAATATGAACCCAGTATACTATTCTCCCTATTGACCTATTTTATAGACTGCCACATTGAAGACCCTAAGCTTTGAAAACCCCGTATTGTTTTTCAAATACGCCGAGGATCCAATCCCTTCCCCCTTATATGAAACACTCCCAACCCCCCCCACTGATATTAAATCCTCACAATATATGAGAATTATACCACAATGGTGAGTATTTCATCTTAGGGGGCTGGGAGGGGGGTGGCTAAACCTTTAACCCTAATAGTAACACCTGGAAACCCCCCTTAAGGGATTAATGTGAAAGCCTCTGCGCAGATCCCATCTGCATGCGTCCTCTACATGTGAGCTACAGTTTCAAGTCCTAGCATCACCCTTGATGACCCCTATAGTCGTCCCCTATATAATCCCTACATAACCCCCTTCAAGGAGTTTAGACTATAGCTCATGTGGTCCCGCACAGCCATGCCTGGCATGCATGCGCTTTCCTACTCAAGCCTAAACTCTAAACCCTAAAACCTTCGAACTTCTGGGGGCGCGACACTGCCGGCATCCTGCCAACTGACATGCTCTGCAGGTAGCAAGCAAACATCAACACAGGTAGAGAAACTTCGGCATGCCGAGAGAAAACCGGTGTATTTACTGTTCCTGCAGGTCCGCAGGAGCTCAACCAAGTGCTGCACATGACGAGACTAAAGCATGCTTTTCTTCAATCAACCGCGCACTTGCAATCCTGCCAGAAGATATGTTGAAAGATACCTGAAAGAACCAAGAACACATGGCGTTTTGAACACATATGCGCGACATTGCACCATGCTCCGACCTCGAACTCGTCCGGCTTGTGCAACACCTCGTCCCCAGAGTTCCCACTCTTTATGCCTTCACAGAGGAGCATTGAGCATATGCCAAGTAACTTTCACGCATCTAGAGAGTACGTGTAGCCCATTTCTTATCACATGAGAAATTTTGACGTCAGGCTTGCACTGCCTGGTCGCTGACTCACGCATGAACAGCCGAAGGGCAGGCTGCAAGACATCGTCCCTGGCCTTTGAAGGAGAAGAGCCGACTGATGCTTTGCTTCTTTCCTGTCAGGCTGTTGTTGTGTCCAGTAGAAGCTTAGAAAGCAAAAGCCTGCAGACACCATGCACCACCGCTCACGTCGCACATGGCTACAATCTTTTCTTCACGGGCGGATGCAAGGATTTTGCGTCCGTCAGCTGTCAGTGGCATGAAACACTCATTCAAGTGCAATCGGCTACAGCGGCTCTCAATTCTCCGCGCACATCACTGCACACTCGGGCCGGAGGACTGGGTGAACTGCAACTGGGAGCCCTTCTCGATGGGTGCCGAGCTCTCTGCCACGTTGCATACCTGTAGGAGGGACTGCGTCCACACCACAGAGCTCTGGATCTCACGCGTCAAGCTTGCGGCCAGAGGAGGTACCGGAGCGGATGGCTTCCCAGTCAGAGCCAGCTTCTTGGACTGCACTGTGTGCTGAGCCTGGATGGCTTCGCAGAACTTTTGCGCGTCCTCGGCAATGCTCTCCGCCTCTGAAACGACCTGCGTGATTTCCTGTGCTTTCTGCAGCGTCTGGCGAATGTGCTGGATGAGGCAAGCACTTGCTGCCTGGCTGGACTCTTCCGCGCTGACGAAGGCCACAGCAGGGGCTGGGCAAGTTGTGACAGCTGTCACTGGCTCCGACATGTTTCGGAGAGGCACCCTATCCTAGCCGGGCTCTTACTTGGCACGGTTTGATTGTTAGTGGCCCCCTGCCTGAGCCACAGGAGCCGAACTTGACAAAGCTTTGCAGACATGCTTCATGAGGAAATTCCAACAATGAGCAGCTGGAGAAAGATTGACTCCTTACAGACTCTCCGAACAACAATCCAACGTTCACAAAGGTATTTCCCGTTAAACACGTGCTATACTATACGATGTCATATCTCTCTCCAAACATCTTTGTATATTCGCTATACTTCGCTCTGCGAGACTACATGCGCGCTGCACAACTGCGATCTTGAAACAGCTCTTGACCCTTGCTGAACGGCGGTTGCGCCTAGCGATGAGTTGCTGGTCTCTGCCTCTGGCCGAGCCTGGTGAGATGTAGCTATAAGGTTTAGGGTTTAGGGATACTCAAGAAAATAAACACCATGCCCCACAGCCTAATGTTAAGCATTCCCCACGGGAGGCTTTGTACATTGGGTGCATATTGAATGTTAGGGGTGAGGGGGGCTTTAACATCAATATTGAGAACTGTGATATGATATGAGCTAATGAAAACTGTATGATAACCTAGTAATACGTCAAAGTTTAAGCTAGACGATACTATAGGTTGTAGTTCCGAGTATGTACAGACGATGCTATGCTGTACTAAGCTATACAATACTAGACTATATAGATATACTATATCATCTGAAGATATGTACACAATCACTAAGTCAAACGAGAATGAACGAAAGGATGACACTGGCGCAACTGCGAATAGAGAACCTGATCAGCTGACAGCAATGTTAAAATATCTACTGCAAAGGAACATTTCGAGAAACAAAAGCAGTTTTTCATAAGATATCTGTTTTTGCTACCTCATTACGGCACAGTCCTCTTGCGGCAAACAAAGAGGGAAACTGCTGTAGGTTTTACCGTACCAAGGATGAACGCTGAACAAGACGGCAGCCCTCAGGAAAAGCACTGGAATCCCCGCATCATGTCTATTTCGGCCCCGGCCCTAATCTCCAACCCTAAACACAGCTTAGCCTAACCCCAAAGCCTCAACACTGTTTTTGCACAAAACTCACAACCTGAACCTGAGGTGCACCCGTTTTCTGAATGTCTGCGTCATCTAACTGTATCGACCCCGAAACCACAACCCAAACCCTGAACTCTCAACCCCGAAGCTGCCTGCCTTCTGATGCTGTTCGGCAACACCGCCCGGCCAGCCCAATTCACGCATCTGGCAAGCAAGTGCCGCAATCTAGGTGGTGTTGTCCTAGCTTCTGAAAGAAAAGGTGTAACTGTTCCATTTTTTGGTGCTCTGAAGTATACTGAACTCGATCTTTTATACAGTTGCTCTTCGGGGGAGATGGCCGATTTTGCCATTGTCCAGACAGAGAAGCTTACGATACTCTGCACTCATGAATGCCATTGTGCGGCAGTTCTGGAATATCTGCAAATCGTCTAACATTCGGGCCCACGCACTTCCCCGAGATACCCAGCATACTAGCAGGTCCACTAAACAAGAGCTTCAGGATGTCAAAACAACTGAACTTTCAGGCACCCTCTGCACAATTGAGGTTATAGCGTACCTAATATACATCTTAACGCGAAATTGGAAATCACTTGGGCCCCTACTACAGTACAAGTTCCCTCTATACGACACTTAAATAATCCAAATATCTACCCCCATATACCCCAATATACCCCTACATATCCCTACATACCACTATAATCCACTATATATCCCTATGTACCCCTGGTTACCCCCAGACTACCAGCCTTTACCCATATATACCTTCGTGTAGCCCCCTTTTTTGCCCCCTATATACCCCCGTATACATGTACCCCTATAGATCCCTATATACTACAATAAACTTAGCCCTATTTACCCCGATATACCCCTATGTACCCAAAACCCTAAGGCCTGAACCACGTGGCAAGCCCAAAGCCCTAAACCCTAAACCCTAATAACCCTAACAACCCTAACAACCCTAATAACCCTGATAACCCTAATAACCCTTATAACCTTAATAACCCTTATAACCCTAATAACCCAAAGCCCTAACCTGCCCAACATTTGGGCTCCCAGCCTTGACGGCAAGAGCGCGATCAGCTCGGTACCTGGGCTAAGGGTTTAGGATTCGGGCACACCTTAGGGTTTAGGGTTTAGGGTTTAGGATTTAGGGTGTAGGGTTTAAGGTTTAGGGTTTAGGGTAATGGATATGCGGTGATTATGGGGGTCCCTCTTCACGGCTGTCTTAACAATCCCGTTATCGATATCGCATCGGTATCGTCATCGAACCAAAGCTGAATTGCCAAAAACAAATATTGAACCGTATCGACGTCGAACTGCTACCCACCTTCCAATCCTAAACACCCCCTCCCTCCACCCTCCACCTTCCACCCCTCCACCCACAAATTTGGGGACCCCAATATAAACCCCAAAATACTCTTATCCTGATTATGGGGACTCCCGTTCTTGGGATCATAAACCCCTGTATAACCCTTAATCCCAAACCCTAAATGGTAGCTTCCATGTTCTTCTCCATTGTCCCTATATCATTCCCATATACACCCGCATACAACGGCTCGGCCCGAGTCCCTGGCTCTCTCATGAGCACCGGCACTAACCACAGGCCGTCAATGATCAGAATGGCAGCTATCACCTGGCAAGAGCCTTTTGGTTGTATAGGGGTATATGGGGATGATATAAGGATAGTGGCAAAATGGCATTTTAACTTACCGAAGGCTATATAGGGGTAGATATTCCCAGCAATGGTGAATCAAAGACATGGGAAATGAAATGGAAACTGGGGATATATGGCGGCTTACTGGTTTCTGCCACTGGCATGGCACTGACGGCACGGCAAGGCTCGAACCCGGCAAATCTGAAAGCAGCTGAGAAGCAGGCCCACCATCAAACATCAACCCGGCATGCCCACTATATCCAGGGCTTCGGGTTGAGGGTTTAAGCCATTTTTCCAGAGAACTTCGGCAAGAGCTTCATGCGCACAAGCAAAATGTGCATGGCATGATATGGCATGCGGTGGATGGCTTGATTCAACAAGCCAGTCTGTCATGATAGCCAACCCGGACGAGGGTCTCAGGTCTCTGCCTTAAACAGCGTGCACTTGGAGGCTGTGGGGTACTTAGTAAGTGGGTTAACAACAGCTATAAGCCATATAGTAGCCCCAGTTATCACCACGATGAACCTACTAAAACATGCTGACACATGTCAGCGACCCACATGCAGGCAATAAAGCTATTTACTAAGCCAACATGACCCTCCAAGCAAGGTATCTCACTGCGAAGTATGCATAATATCCCTCACCTCAACACTAACTACCCATCAAGTGGCTCCAGCTCAATCAGAAACTGCTATGCACATGTGAGGCTACGGCGCATCCTCTGCAATCTCCAAGTAGAAAGACGTGCTGACCTCAGCCCAGGTGATGTCACAAAACGATTTGGCGACTTCGCAGCTGCACCGCATACTGTCACAAGCGTGAAGCCGAAGGAATGCCTGAGCCACAACTTGCGAAGAGGCAGCCATGCTCCAAGAGCGGTGCTAAGAGCAACGTCAGTGGCAACCGCACCACCACCAACAACAGCAGCATTGGCCTGAAATTGAAGGTTCTCAAAGTTACCGCCTTGTCATCTCCTTTAAGAGCTCTTATGATCCGCTCCAAAATCTCTACATAACCCTCGGACCCCAAGGGCAGCATCATGTTACACTCATGTTGATAAACCTCCAACTATGAGTGCAATGGAATCTCACTCAACAGCACTCTGGGGCTCCATGTGGTGAGTGCACAAGGCCTCCAGAACTGCCACAGGGCAGTTTCATCCAACAGCCAATACGAAAGCCTGGCTAGGACATGCTAGAGCCAAGGATTAGGGGTACGCTGACATCATTGCTGGGGGGATTGCTTCCTTTTCAGGGTGCTCGTCTCTTAGGTTGTATACTAGAATCTCAGCTCCTGGAAAAAAGCATGAGGGATCCTTTGTTTGAACCCAGTGAGCTGACATTTTTCTTGGAACTACCATTCCTAAAACAAAATACTATGGCCAAAAGACTGCTCAGAGGAAGAAGTAATCTTACTCCGTACCCTGCGAGGAAGGTATGATCTGGCTCGATGTAGGGCACTTGAAAACCTCCGTGAAAAATGCTGCCCACACAGCCGGCCTAAACTCTAAACCCTGCACCCTTAACCTTGAACCCGCAATGTCAGCCAGCCAGACTGGTTGGCTGACGTCCATGCCTCTCGGTACAACGTCAGATACGATGGTGCCTGTGGAGGGGTGGAGTCTTCTCAGATGGGGGTTATATTAGGGTTATAATGGGGTTATATTTGGGTTATATAGAGAAAATGGAAAAGAAAATGGAAACTACTATATTATAATAGGGTACATATTAGGCTTATATTGGTAGTTTCCAAAAATTTAGGGTCCAGGATTTTCGGGTAGCTTAAATAGAATCCTTGTTGTGGGGACTCTCCTTTCCTTATTATGGGGATTCTTAAAATTCGGGACTCGTAACCTTCGGAAACCCTCAACATTATTTCTCCCCCATATATCTTATATATCCCCTGTGTTCCCCTTAACCTAGACCCTAATTGTCGGAAATGCCCCAGATATGCAATTGTAAGTCGAGCCTGTCATTAGGGGGCTCCTTGGATTGCAGGCTGAATTTTTGTAGTCAGTCGGTTTAAGGAGCTTAGAGTTCAAGGGTTCAGCCTATGGTCAATTAATGACAAACACCACCTCCACCCCTAAATTACATAAGCGACCTGATATACCCATTGGGTGACTTTTTTAAAGCAGGGGTGGGAGGCGTGCTCAATTTTTCAATCTTAATACTAACATGGAGCGCTTATAACGGTTCCTGCAATTCGTCAGGACAACTGCTACACGTACAGGCTCAAACTATACCTGGTATACTGTACCTCGAGGACTTCAAGCTTCACAACTCCTGGACAACTGAGTTGAACCCCCTAAACCCTAAACCCTAAACCCTAGAAACCCTAAAACCTACAGTAATGGCATCCCCGAGCCACGCTCAAAAAAAGCTGTGCGCAGAAGACCCAAACCTCCCGCGCCGCGATAAAGCAACCGTCCCGTCCCAGCCCACACTTACCCTGGCGTAATAGGGACTATATCAGGGTCCTCTTATATTCCTATTATACCACTGTTACAGGTTGGGGGGTCCTCCTAAAATGTAATGGTGGTTAGGATTTAAGCTCTGCAACGGGCAGCAAGGCCTCCCACAGCAAGGTCAAAAGCCCAAGACCTGCGACAGGCGGGGAGATACGTTTGCATGGAAAACTGAGTGCATCATACTGTAGCTATCATCACATGCTACCACTGGACACAACCAAGTTCATCCTAGACTAGTCCGTTACGCATGCTATGGAAGTGAGGGTTTACTAACAGACGGGCAGTTCGGTAAACCCCTTGAGAAACGCACTCTCTTTTTGACTCAGTTGGCAAACAGAAAAGTCCTTGGCAAAGCCCTACAGACAGAAAAGTCTACCTGACCTACGGGCAGTGCAGCAAGGACGGAATTCTGATGCCTGAAAATCCGACAGACGGAGATTCAAGGCAAGCAGAATTCGCACAAGATGCGCCTACCTACTCGACCAGGACCAAATCCAAGGGATCACTGGGAGCGGGCGGACAGAGAGTGCTCGACTGGGACCAAGACCAGTGGATCATGGGGAGACGGAGGCAGAAAACAATCGACCCGGACCAAGACCAGTGGATCACGGGGAGGACAGGCAGTGCAGATGCAAGCTCGACCAGGACCAAGTCCAATGGATCAGCTGGGAGCACACAGGCAGAAAAGGAGAAAGGCGGAGCAAGGGGCAGGACGGTGGGAATCCAAAATCGCTATGCTCCACCTGCGAGCAAGGATGCTGCGGGCAGAGCATCCTTGCCGTTGCGTCATGGGATAAACACATAGGATTAAACTCCATATCGTTCATCCTAGACTAGTCCGTTACGCATGCTATGGAAGTGAGGGTTTACTAACAGACGGGCAGTTCGGTAAACCCCTTGAGAAACGCACTCTCTTTTTGACTCAGTTGGCAAACAGAAAAGTCCTTGGCAAGCCCTACAGACAGAAAAGTCTACCTGACCTACGGGCAGTGCAGCAAGGACGGAATTCTGATGCCTGAAAATCCAAATGCCATTGAGCCAGAGCTCGACCCAGCGGGGAAGAAGGCCATCAGAATTTGAGCTCGGATCAGATGGAGGCTGCAACGTAGTTCTCCATGAGAGAAGGCAGAGGAAAGAAGGTGAGGTCATGGACCTCAGGAAAGGAGGTCCAAGGGACAGAAAAAACCTCGGCGGGCTGAAAACCCAGCGTGGCAGGCGGGACAGCACGGCTGAGAGCGTCCGCGACGTCATTGAGGAAACCGGGGACAGAGTCGGAGGACTGAAATGCGGACGGTTTCTTGCAACAGGCAGAATTGGCGAAGAAACTGACACATACGAGCGCACGTCGTTTCATGGCCCACAGACCCTGAATATAGCCCAACCCCATGGCACAGTGGATAGCCCACACGTCCAAGAAGATAACCCAAAAACCAAATCCCCATGGCACAGTGAGGTGACACAACGCCACTTCAATGGAAATACGTGAAAAACACCAGGCTCGTGTCAAAACATGCACCGGTACTGGGCTCTCAGTTAGGTATCAGAATGTATTTTCGGAGGCAAATCCCCAAGGCACAGCTTGATTTACGCAATGCCCCAAAAGGCCAGAGATACTTCAAAAGTCTGGCAGCAGCACTAGAATAGAACATTTGGGGTATGGAGTTTCGATCATTTTGGCATCCAATCCCCAAGGCACAGCCTGTTTTGAGAACAGGCACGAGACCACACAAACCAAGAATGTTCCGAATAAGGGGGCTCATTGGGGATCTTATGAGGGGGCTCCCAAATCCATACAAATACATAGGGGATCTTATGAGAAGACTCCCAAATCCATACAAATACATTGGGGACCTTTATGAGAAGGCTCCGAGAACCATACACATACATTGGGGATCTTACGATAAGGCTCCCAAGTCCATACATTTACATTGGGGATCTTATGAGAAAGCTCCCAAATCGATACAAATACATTGGGGATCTTATGAAAAGGTTCTGAAATCCATACAACTACATTGGGGATCTTATGAGAAAACTCCCAAATCCATACAAATACATTGGGGATCTTACAATAAGGCTCCGAAATCCATAGGAAAGGTAGGGGATCTTATGAAACAGCTCCCATATCCATACAAACATACCTTGGGGATCCTACGAAAAGGCTCCCAGATACGTACAAATACATTGGGGATCTTATGAGGAGGCTCCCATGTCCATACAAATACAATGGGGATCTCATTAGAAGGCTCCGAAAATCCATGCAAATACATTGGGGTTCTTATGAGAAGACTCCCAAATCCACGCAAATACATTGGGGATCTTATGGTAACGCTCCCAAATTCATAAGAACAAGTTGGGGATCCCGATTTAGGGGTGAATACTACAAGATCTGAGGTTCCCCAATGTTGGAAAACTACCATCTGGAGTGTGGGTTGCTCCGGTGTCTTCATCCCTCTAAGCAGCAGTCATGAGGCCCAAGAAAATTCGTGAATAATACTCCAGACCCAACGGCAGGCTCCAAGTCTACGGCGCAAGCCCCATGGCCCCAGATATTATATATATATGTATATGTATGTTCTAAACTGGTCGGGGTATAGTAAGAAACTATCTGTGGGACGTAAAGTTTACAACCCAACTTTGTATCCAGGGCTGGGGCTGAGTCTGGCCAACAGTTTTGCACTCCAACAGCGCTCTACTTCTTCTTCAGGTCAGAAAGGCTGACGAAGCGGGTTTTGTACTCTTTCTGCCAATACCTGTACCAGGTTTGGCGAGCCTTGCTACTGGAAAAGTCTTTGTCCAAACTAGTGTTGCGAAAGTGAGTTGCCAAGCTTGCACCCTTGAGCTTGGTAGAAATGACCCAGCTTACGAACATGTCGAGCACGCCGTCAAACTCTTGCAACGTCCCACCAGCTGCCTTGTTGGCGGGGGCACCATATCGAAGCACTAAACCCTAAACCCTAAGCCCTAAACCGCGGGGAAACCTTAAACACACATTTAACTCAAGAAAACATGCAAAAACCCAACACCCTTGAATGTACACCCTAAACTCACGCTACATGGGGTTGGAAAGTTTTCAGCTTTTGGCCATAAGATTTGATGCCTTCAAGTCCTTCTCAGGGAAAAGTTCACAGATCAGGTCCTTGATGCCCGCCGCGCTGTTAAGGTCAAACACAGGCTCCTTGGCAGGCTCAGCAGCCGGCGTCTCAGCCACAGCCCCAACCGCAGGTGACGAAACCAGTGCTTGTTCGGTAGCAGCTTGCAGAGGAGCTACAGCCTGCTCGCCCGTGGAGCCGGCGGAAGCCGCAGCAGGCACCTCCCCTCCGCGCACCTTTGATATCATGTCCCCCCATACTTTTGTCAAGTTCTTCTTCTTGGCGACATCAAAGTCGAGAGCATTCTCCATGTCAACCAGAGGGGCGGCTTTCCGTTTGAAGCCCTGCGACCGGCCTCCCAAGCTCACAGCATGGCTCACCTCATCAAAGTTCGCGTTGGCTGTCCCGCACTCCGGACAAAAGCGACTCGAGCTCGCAACCATGGCCTTGCAAGTAAGTGCTGTGCACCTTGTTGTTTCTGGCGCCCGTTTGTAGCCCTGAGGGGCCGGAAGCACTGCAGCAGCTTGGTCCGCTTGCTCGCTGCAAAGGGCTGCCTTCTCGCCTTTCACACCAACGACTTTGCGGTTGAGGGCCTGCATGTCCTTGATCGCGATGCTGGAAGCCCACTGAAACCAGTTTCGGTAGACCTAGGCCCGTGGGAATTTGAGAGAGCCATGATTGTTAATGATCCCGAAGAAGCTCTTATAGCTCCTGTTGGGGCTCTCAAATCCATACAAACGGATTTGGGATCCTATGAGACAGCTCCCAAATCCATACAAATAAATTGGGGATCTTAGAAGAACGGTCCCAAATCCATACAAATACATTGGGGATCTTTATGAGAAGGCTCCCAAATCCATACAAATACATTGGGGATCTTACGAAAAGGCTCCTAAATCCATACAAATACATAGGGGATCTTATGAGAAGGCTCCCTAATCCATACAGTGACAGATAGGTTAAGGATCTTATGAGAAAGCTCCCAAATCCATACAAATACATTGGGGATCTTATGAGAAGACTCCCAAATCCATACAAATACATTGGGGATCTTATGAGAAGACTCCAAAATCCATACAAATACATTGGGGATCTTACGAAAAGGCTCCCAAATCCATACAACTACATTGGGGATCCTATGAGAAAGCTCCCAAATCTATACAACTACATTGGGGATCTTATGAGAATGCTCCGAGATCCATACAAATACATTGGGGATCCTATGATACGAGTATGGCTCCCAAATCCATACAAATTGTTTGGGGATGTTTACGAACAATATGAATAATCCCTACAGAAGACCATAATCATCGCCCAAGCACCCCATCCATCTCCTGCTCATACTGCTCGTAGTCACTCCAATCTGGTGCTTGATCCGCGCTGCACACGCCGATGTTCAGCAGGTAATACTTCCACATGCATTGCTTTGCATCCTTGGACGTAAAGGCACAGTTGGAGCGCTGCATAACTTGGACGTGCTGCAAAAGGTCGCGCTTTTGCGCGGCTGTGAGGGCACCTTTGTGGGTGCGACCAGCTTTGAATTCAGACGGCGTATCCTTCAAGTCATCATCCGGGTTCGCCTTCCACCACTCATCCACGCGAGCCAGCTTTTTTCTCGAAATGTGGTATCCCGGCAAGCCCTCCTCAGCTGCGAGGGCACTATTGAAGACCTTCGCGCGCAGCAACTTTGCCACGTCGATGTATAGCTGAAAGGCCTCATCAGGTCAACTCCGGGAGGAAATGTTACTGTGAAATGTAACATTAAGATCACAGGTCTATAAAGGGTTGTAATTCAAAAACATTTCACAAAGATACACCTCATCATCGTGCTGTATCAAATAGGTACGTTTGTCTGCAGCCTGGCCCAGAGATTGCTTGAACTGAAGCCACTTCTTATGGAACGCATCGAGATTGTCGGTCCTGCTCTCAGACCAGTATGACGATGCCAGCTTGGTCTTGAGGGAAGCTTCCTTCCCTGCAGTCTTGCCCGGGATACGATGAGAAATGGAAGCCATGAAGGCATCGCGCTCTTTCTTAGAGAGTGTCTTCCACTCCTTCATGGCGTCAGATTTGCGAACACCCTCCTCGGCCTTCACTTTCTGAAACCAAGTACATGCACTCCACGCAGAACTTGAGGAAGGTAAGGCTTCAGCGGCGTTGTTTGGAGGTTGCGCCGGAACTGCTTGAACATCCTCATCCTCTATGGCTGCACGCGCCGGTGCAGGCGGTTCCGCTGGAGCAACAGCCTCACCCTCGTTCTCGAAAGAAGCCAGAATGGCCTGATGGCGCTTGAGGTTGGCATCATAGCAGGCCTGACAAAAGCCCGTGATGCCCGATTCACGAACTTGTTTCAAATCAGCGCTGCATTCCCTGCAAAGGCTATCTGGCGCATTCGCCGGAGGTGGCAGCGGAGGTGGGGATGCTGGCGCAGTTCTGTCAGAACGTTCGGCCACAACTGCAAGGTTCCGCAGCTGGTGGATGACTGCAGCATCATCACCTGCAACTTGCCCAAGAATGCCAACCTTCTATAACATTCGTATATGGGTTTTGCCTAAGAAAAATCGGGTCAGAAGAGGGCTCTAAATCTGGTCCAAACGATATCCGAACGATACCCCGAACGATACCCCGAGAGTCTATGTGAAAGGCAAGGGCGCAACTACTAGTTATTGGAGTTGCTTATGCAAGGGGCAAGAAAGGATTATTCGGGGGCTATGAGTTGCGATCAGACCTGGCGTGACCCAGAGGGTGCTTCTTTGAACGAGCCTCGAGTGAATAAAAAGAAGGATATCCAAATCCATATGAATATGTTGGGGATCTTGTGGGAAGCATCGGAAATCCATTTTGATACTTTGGGATGTTACAAAGCTGCTCCCATATCCATACAAATATATTGGGGATCTTTAGGAGGAGGCTGCAGCATCCATACAAGTAGGTTGGGGATTCATATGAAACACGTCCCACATCCAAACAAAGGTTGGGGATCCTATGAAACGACATCCATATAAATAGGTATTGGATCCTATGAGAAGGCTTCCAAATCCATGCAAATACATGATGGAACTTTATGAGAAGGCTCCCAAATCCATACAAATACATTGGGGATCTTACAAGAACGCTCCCAAATCCATACAAATACATGTGGGATCTTTATGAAGGCTCCGAGATGCATACGAATACATGGGGGATCTTTTTATGAGAAGGCTCCCTAATCCATAAAAAATATATTGGGGATCTTACAAGAATGCTCCCAAATCCATACAAATACATGGGGGATTTTTTTATGAGAAGGCTCCCTAATCCATAAAAAATATATTGGGGATCTTACAAGAACGCTCCCAAATCCATACAAAGATATCGGGGATCTGAATGTGAAGGCTTCCAAACCCATACAAATACATTGGGATCTTACGATAAGGCTCCCAAATCCAAACACATAGGTTGGGGATCTTATGAAACAGCATCCGTACAAATACATTGGGGATCTTATGAGAAGACTCCCAAATCCATACAAATACATTGGGGATCTCATGAGAAAGCTCCCAAATCCATACAAACACATTGGGGATCTTAGAACAACGGTCCCAAATCCATACAAATACATTGGGGATCTTATGAAACAGCATCCATACAAATTGGTTGGGGATCCTATGAGAAGGCTTCCAGATCCATGCAAGTACACGGAAGATTTTCATGAGAAGGCTCCCAAATCCATACAAATACCCTGGGGATCTATATGAAACAGTTCCGTTCCCAAATTCATGTAAAGTCCTTGCGGATCCTATGAGAACAGCATCCATACAAATAGGCTGGGGTGCCTGTGAGAAGGCTCCGAGAACCATACAAATACATTAGGGATCTTTATGAGAAGGCTCCAAGATCCATACAAATACATTAGGGATCTTATGATCAGGCTCCCAAATCCATACAAATAGGTTGGGGATTTTATGAGAAAGGTCTAGCATCCATACAAGTTATTTCGCAAAGCAAGTCACCTGTGTTTGTTTCTTCAACCCTGAAGCTCATGCCTTGGGCTGATGAAGCGGAATTTGCTTGGAGGACAAGAGGAGCAAGTCCAAGTCCTGCGTGAGCACAGCTTTGCCGCGACAATTGTGGCTTCACCGATGCAAAACTATGTCAAATGCATAGTCTACCTTAAGTAGATAGAATATGCGGAAATTATATGGGGATCTTGTTATAATATACCCAAAGCCATATTCTATCTACTCAAGGGGGACTATAGAGCTTTGGCAGCGTTTCTTCTCGTTGTTCTCGCACGGCTTCCCCGCCAGCGTCACATCTGAGAAAATGGGATGCGCGCATTCGTAAGTTACTAAACATCAAGAAGATTTTCCATGGCAGTACTTTCGACTAGCAACGTTCTCAGTTGCACGCAGCCGCCTTCTTAGGCTGAACAGTGCCCCCACATTGTGAGCAGATGCAGCGGTTACCGCCCTTAGCAGAAGTAGAGAGCAAACGACTTGTTTCCCGGACTTTGTCCAAGACACCCGGAACTTTCTCCAGCAACTCAACACTGCGAGTGATGCGCAGCTTGCAACAGGCACGGACGCAGCAACTGCAAGCTGATCCCACGACCGTCCTGCGGAGATTTCCATTAGTGCCCACAACCCGATATTGCCAGCTCACTTCATGCTTCTGCCTGCTACAGATTCGGCACTCTGTGGCAAGCTCGTGTTCTTCTCCATGCACATTTCCTCGCAGCCCTATGCCCAGAAGCTCCAGCTGATGACGCTGGGACTCGCTGATGCTTGGCAGACACGGGCGCTTATCCTCCTTGGGCGAAAGGGCGTCAAACGCCTGGGGTCGCTTGGTTGGCGTGCGAGTCTGCTCAAGCTCATCAGCCATGGCAAGCCCAGACAGGAAGAACTACACAATGTGAAGCATGGACAGCAATTGCTGCGTTGATAAGAATAAGCCCGTGCGTCTATAAATCATGGCAACTTCAAGTGCAAACATTAGCCCAACTGTGGGTCAGTCCTGCAGGCCTGCACTTCCGGCGGAACTCTCACCAGCAGGAGCTGAATCATTCGCGCCCTGGCGAGAGGATTTTACTAGAGATTCTAAATTGAAAGTTCCCCAAAAAGTTCAAACTTGAAGTCTTGGCACAAGCAATCCATGCAGCGGGCCCCCATGCACCAAAATCCGGCCTTCGTGCCACCTGATGAGCTCTGAGGCATGACTGCAGGCTGCTCTGAGGCAACGCCCTCCTGAAACAGTTTTGCCCTTTGCATTGCGCCCTACGGTACAAGGTTCAAACTGCCGTAAATGCTGCAATCCCAAGGGACCTGTCCTGGATCGCGTCGAGCAGAATCACACGAAGACGCAGCAAAGAAGCTCGGGGGTTGAACTCTGCTCCCCAAGCCTTTAGCTGACTCAGTAGCTCCACCTGGGAGAGCCGCACGATTTGCGACTCGCTGAGCACCTTTTTCGGCGCCATTGCCGAGAAACACGCTACAAGAGCTACACTTGAATCTTCACATTCCGAGAGAAACTGATCTATGGTGATTTCGCATACTGGACCTATCGTATTGAGAAACTTCACGCTGAGCCGTCCTGGAAACCCAAACCAAATCTGAGCCATACCTGCCAATTGGCACGGTTTCATCTGTGTGCCCTTGCGATTTCTGCCATGCGAGTAGAGCAAAGGCATGCGTGCATGCCACTCAAACGAAAATGGCCTCGTAATCTCTTCATACCTTTAGGATTCCTTGGGCGTACACTAGGGGAGCAAAAAGAAGCTATGAATAAGAGCGTTTGCCAGGAATCCGCACGGCATGCTATCATTTGCCAAGCAAGCAAGCTGAAATCTCTTTAACCTCTCAATCCGTACTTCAATCCGATCAAGGTCCTACAGGCCAACTAATATTTGAAGAGGTTGCGATACCCCAAGCCCAACGTACTCCTGCGATCTCTGCTACGTCATGGTACTCCTTTTTACTCTTAAGTGGTAATGAGGACTGATGCCCCAATCTCAGTGTGCCTCTGCGATTCCTGCAAACCTTAGACTCACACCTATATAAATGATATCATGTAGTGCTAAAGGTTTTTAGCAGGAATCCGCAGGGCACACCGCGATTGGGCTATCTTCCTTGTGGTCGGGTCACGAAACAACTTCTACCCAGTACCTCTCGCAAGGGTAAGACCCTTCCAGGCCGCGGATTGAGAAGGGGAGTTATCCGTACGGAAAATCACATGAAAGGGAGTGTGCCCAGGCGGCAACAGGCGGGACAGTATCCAGAGAAGGGCCACCTGAGCTAGCATCTCCCACGCTGCAATGCAATGCTGGGGAGATGTACCAGGCGGAAACCAAGGGAAAAGGTCAGACAGCAATTCTGCGGACAGTGTCTGCGCGAAACATGCTTGTCTGCCGTCAGGGAGGCGGATAAATCCGCCCAACCCCGCCGAAGTGGAGTCTGCACATGCGTCCGCAAAGGCCTCGCAGACAAACAGCGGACGGTACAGTAACGACCTGAAGGGCTGCGGAGAGCTGGCGAGGGCGAGCCACATGCGGAGGACCTCCAAAGATTCCGGCGAGAGCTCCCTCTCCGGACGGAGGGGGTTGGCGACCTGAACCCAGACACGCCGTGACGAGATGTGTTCAGTGACATCTTTGAGGTTGGAGACCGGGGTATGCGCAACACGGAGCAGCTTGCAGCCCACGGGAATGGCCGCAAGCGGAAGGGGAGAGGTGATGCGAAGGTCCTCAGACAGGGAGGAACGAAGAGACGAGTAGATCTCGGCAGAAATCGCGCACATGTTGGGCAGAGGGCGACGCTGGTCTGTATACAGTGGGGCGAGAGACGGCCGGAATGACTGGAACAGGTTGCTGAGCCAGAGGAGCTTTCCAGTGAGCTTCTCGAGCGCCGAGACTGTGCAACGTGGTGAGTCGGACAGCAGCCTGAGTAAGTCGAGCAGACGACGCAATTTGGAGGGATCTAATTGAACCATGAAGGTCTCGAAATCAAAAGACCACCCGATCCAAGTCACACGGGCAGACAGAGCGGCCTTGTGCCAACTCATTGGGACGCGAAGAATGCAGAGCAGAACAACGAGCAGCGCGGACAAGAGAGGCGCGGATGACCGAAGCAGAATGGCTAGCAAGTCATCAACGTAAATTTGGGCTGAGTGACGAACACGCCACAGACGGTGCGTGAGTCGGACTAACAGACCCGCAACCCTGTTCCAATAGAAACCTGAGGCCCTAGCACCAAAGTTAAGGGTGACGGACTGGTACAGGATGTTGCGGTGGCGGAAACAAAGCAGTCCCTGATCATCATGCCGGATGCGGACGCGACGGTGAGCCTTGGAGACGTCAAGCACCAGGGCGGCCAGGGACTCGTTAGCCGGGCAAAGTGGAAGGCACTTGCGGACGTCGGCCAAGGAGGGGTTAGGGGCCTTATTAGGGAGGTGAGTATTAGAGGTGACGCCGCTGACGGAACTATCCACAACAAGACGGGGTGGGCGGTCAGGCGAGACCACTACGCCCAGTTTGCCCACGGCAGTGTGGCGATAGCGGCGCCGGAGCTCCTCGTCCCTGCCGGGGACCGGACGGATCCACCCCTCACGGAGTTCAGTCGCCAGCAAGTCGTCAACCAGGTCTGCGTGATCAAGTGCGGACTTCCAGGCGGAGTCGCAATGCTGCAGCGGAATGACGGTCGCGTCCGGCGGATCAGGCGGAAAGAGAACCTTGCATGGTGGGATAGGCGAGCCGATGCCAAGGG